CCTTGCCTGTGTATGAATCTTCTGCTGTCTCTTTTGGTCACATCTTATTTTTTTTAATAGTCTTTGGCATTTTTCTTAACAAGGAGAAATTCTATACTTGAATTTACCAGGTTTTACTCAAAAGCTGAGCAGTTATTGTTTATAAAGTTTAACTTAAGTGTTTTATAACAGGTTAATACATTTTCCTTTGTTTTGTTTTGAAATGCTTTTCCATGGTCCATAGACAAAGAAAATTAGTCAAATAAACTAGTTTAAAATCAATTTAACCTGAAACTATTTTCTATGACCACATGTAGAAATAGTTACAATGAACAATCCTAAAGCAAAGTTTGCATAAAGATGGTAGTACTTGAACCTTTTCAGAGGTTTTAATTCAAACAAATTTAAGATATTAACTAATAAAAGTTGTTTTAACTGTTTCCCTTCTTCATCATAACACTCTGTGAGGCAGCCAGTCTGGTATTATATTCATGTTATTTTCATAAAGAGAGGTTTCAGAAAACATTTCAAACCACTGTAGGGCATTTTAATTTTTCTGGAAGTATGTTTTGTGCATTGGGTGTTTGTATATTCTGTACCAGAAATTTTTGTGCCTTAGAATGACTAGGATTTGTTAGGATTTAATTTCTTTTAGTGTTCTTGTTTTTCTTTGATTTTTTAACTGTGTTCATTTTATTGATATTAGCAATTTTCCCCATCTATTTGCAATGTATTTTGTCAATGTACTTGTTTATTTCTTTGCTTGTTTGTTTGGTTTCTTCGTATGTTTATTTATTTCCATTTGCTTTCTCAGGTTTCTGAAGATGTTGGTCAAAACGATGATAGTGAGGATGAAGAATTTAATCAGGAAAGTTTAACTAAAAGGCTTATAGATAATGAAAACTAGGAGCAGTCAAATGTCAATCATTCAATTTGTTATTGCTATCAATTCATAGGTAAATCAGTGAGAAAAATATAATTTATTTATATTTTTAGGTAGTTAAAGTTATTTTGCTAGAACTGGTTGGTATATTAATAGCAGGATTAATTTTGTATTAAACAAGATATCATAATAGTGGCAATTCCTTTATGGGCATATGTTTCATTGTACATTGTATATGAATCATGTGTTAGGTTTGACCTACTACTGAAAAACAATTTTTGATTTAAGAGTGAATTTGTTATCATGGTGACTTGCATGGAAAAGTAAGTCACATAGTGAGTTAGTGTTCTTTTGGTACAACAATGAGATCAACTGAAAAAATTGTAGCCATTGGTGATCATGAGAGATTCAATCAGCTTTAACTTAAAGCACTATTTTGATATCAGGGAGTTGAAATGTCATTTGATAACTTTAATTAATATGATATTACTAGAGAACACTGTAATGGTCCCAGAAACAAGCTAAATTGGAATTTATTTTTGTATGTTACTTGGATATGTTGTCGTCAAACTGATTTCACAAAAACATTTAAATACACAAGTGGTTTTCATCACTGGCAAGAATTGAATTTTGCCTGCTACTTAAACCACTCTTGGCTATTATAGGATGCTAATAAGTTTGCTGTAATTTTCCTAAGTTCTATATATGTAGTTATTGGTAACATTGTCATATATAGGACTTCAAACTTCCTTCCCAGTCATCATCTAGTAACCCACAGTGTATAGCACGCCAGTAAAGGATTATTGAAGGAGTTACTGGAAAGAGGCTGGATCAACAAGATAATTTTTCATGCAGCCTACCTAAATAAAGCAGATATAGGCATGGTGGTGTCATTAAAAATGGAGTTAGGTTTGGTACATTCTGAGAAATAATGCTTGTGAAATTCTGCTGAAAGAGATGAATTATTTTTATCATTAGTGGTAGAATTGCAAAAAATTAAGTTGGTAAGCAAAAAAGCTACTGCACATGGATGTGAATACTTACTTCCTATAGCAGTGGCCTGCATTTAATACCTGTCCTTTTGTCAGTTTTTGTTCCATTCTTTGGTTTTTCTCTAACTCCCCCCATTTCCCTCCTGTGCAAAAGTAATTTCTAAGTTCTTTAACAAAATTTCAACATGTACATAGACTTTATGACTTATGAATTAAAGTACTTAGTATCAATATTATTATGAACTGCTAGCAGGTATCTACTATTACTGTAAGGGTAAACCAAAATCTGCAGTGTTATTGGGCAATATTATTCAGAAAGATTTTTTTAGGGGATATGACATTAAACTTTCAATTAATTGATGCTGTATATTTTTTATTAACTGATGATTGTTTTTGGTGTATGTGAACTAACCCTAACTCCCATCACAATTTGAAGTGGATCTTGATTCTCCTTACATCTCCTTACATGTACATGGTCAAGCAAACATCAAGACGTGTTCAGAATAAAGAAAATTGTTAGAAGGAGATAATGTAACTCAGCTAAATCTTTAGACTACATACAGAGATTTGAATCAGCTTTGATATTAAAAGCAACAACACCCTTAAACCTTGTAATCGAAGATTTGTAGTACAAGCTAAAAGAATGATGAGAATCAATATATATATGTTATTCACCAGCCAAGGTTGGTCCATATTGGGAAAAACTGTCTCCAAGGTCTTAGATACTGCCCGAGGCCTACAGCCTCAGGCAGTACACAAGACAGAGGGCACAGTTTTTCCAGTTATTTTTTTTCTAAATCCTAACAAATGGTTGCAAAAAGAACCTGAATGATAAAGGGCTGTAATTACAGCAAGATTCTCCATAAACAGAACAATTTATGAGGGAGTAGATAGTAGAGAAAACAAGGGTGAAGCAAATGAAAGAGAGAGGTTTCATCAAAACATATTTATTTGCACAATGATATTAAAAGGTGATTTTAAAGGCTTCCAAGAAACCTTTAAAACATTTTTTGGATACTGCCCGCTGTGAGCAGGCCAGGTGGGGAGAATACTGCTCACTCTTGGAACCAATCAGATTGCAGGATTTGTGGAATACTGCCTGCTCACGAACTGAGAAAAAAATAAACGGTGTTCATCCTTTTCTAAAACTGAAGCAGGGATTTGTAAACCATGTAATTTTATATTGGAAAGACTTCCAGTGCCTATAGTGTCTTTCCTCTAACCCCTCTGAAGGCAGATAAGAACATCACACCAAAGTTTGCTTTAGATAAGAAGTATGGAAGTTAAAAACTCATGCACATCACTCTTTATCTTGTGCCAGTCTCTTCTTGTTCCAGTTTCAGCTTGCCCAAAGCAGTGCAAACCATCTTAAATTGTATGTAATTCAAAACTGCTCTATTTTCCCAGCATACAAACAAAATTACACATGTTTAAACAAGTATTGTGGACTTTACTTTATTTATATTTTCTTACAAGATATAGAAGGCTACTCTTGATATCCTGCTGAATATTGGAATGAAATCCCAAAGTATCTTACAACCTTTCTTCTAATGTCCATGCAAAGCTGTGCGAGTAGACACCCATACATAAAAAAAGATCCATGGGCAAAACAACCCTTACTGCACTTTCTTTGAACTTCACATTTTGCCTAAAAAAGAGAGTAGGAAAAAATTGTCTCACAAAAGGTGGGTAAAGAGCAGATTTTTTGGGTACCAGGCAAAAATGTTTTTAAGATGCTGACAAAAAGTTCATTCTTGTTGCAAGAATGGGTTTGCTATGGGTTCCATGCCATCAACAGGACAAATTAAAACCACAGCTGTCCCTCTGCACACAGCCAGGCCCAATTGCCTTGTCTCATCAGTGAGTTTGAATGGGTCATCAGGATCTGTAAAGATGACAAAATCTTGTGAGCAAACATTTTAAAATTTTCCCTCGGTAAGGACCATGACAAGCTCTGTGTATGTAAATTTGTAGAGAATAGACGATAAATGCCCTTCAAGGAATGTGCGAAGTTGACTTGTTACCTCGAAGATTGGTAGTACCACAACTGGGCACTAAATCGGAAATAAATTATCTTTGTAATCTATTACCTCTTAAACATTCCGTTGTATTATCCAACACTACATTCAGTAAGGCATCAAAACCTTTCAAAACACCTGTAGCTGAAGACAGAAGTAAATATACCATTAAGTTGTGGGTAACGTTCAGCAACGCAATGCGTCGCTCAAATTCTGATCACTTTCTTAACATATGGACGAAATTACTGATGAATACTGAAAGTGCGAATAAAAAGCCACTGCTTCTGAATAAAAGGAGATTTATCATTATACACACTATAGAAGCGACAGGTTACTCAATCTAGTATCTTTAAAAGTCATACCGCGTGTCGGCGAACACGAAAGTACATCGATTTTTAAATAACTTTGTCTTACCTTCTCTTCCGCCTTGAAATTTCACTCGAACTCTTTTATCAAGAAATTTGGACAACTCAAATATGCTCTCCTTTTTCTTTCTTTCAGTCTAGAAAAATGTGATGAACAGTTATACACAAAAACATACACTGATCGCTCTTTGACAGGATTTACAAGAACACCTACCGCCATCTTGGTTATTTCCGATAAGATTGATGGGATTGGGAAAATTCTCTTCCAGACCCCCGCTAAACTTTGGTGACTGCAGGTGATCTCAATTTTTAGTTCTACTCTTGATACTTCGAAACATAAACCTTCTTAAAATATATTAAAGTTCACACGGCAACCAGGTGGACAATCAGACATAGTTTAATGCTACTCTGGTTTGCAGATTTAATGAATGTAACTGAAGAAGACATAGTTTGACGCTACTCTGGTTTGCAGATTTAATGAATGTAACCGAAGAAGTTACGATTCATAGACCCAACGTTTCGACACTACTGTCTAGTGCCTTCATCAGGGGTGATCTAAACACTGCAACAAGAGGTCCTTTTATATGATCACTAATCAGCGGCCTTTTTTCTGACGAGGTGTAAATAGGCGTCAGGAAGCAAACCGCCATCGTCACGATTTAAAGGAGCGTGGGCGGAGTTAATATGCCAAACCTCCAAACAAAGGCGCTGATGGTAACGCCGATTAGTGGTGATAATTTTAGAATTATCCCACCCAATTGTATGGTTGGTTAGGCATTTATGCTCCGATAAAGCTGAATTTTCCTTTTTGCAAAAAAAAACCGCTTTTTGGTACTCTTTTAACCGTGTACCAAACTGACGTTTGGTCTGTCCGATGTATTCGTTGTCACGGTCATTGCAAGGAATAGAATAAATGGCGTCGGTTCGTTGTTCTTTCGTGACAGGATCCTTAGGTTTGGCGAAAATATGCCACAAAGTCTGAAAAGGTTTTTGAGCAACTTTAACGTTGTGGCTATTCAAAATTCTCTTGATGGGTTCCGTAACACCCTGTATGTAAGGAATAACAGCAAAACCAGTCACTAGTTCCCTTTCATCAAGAGCGTTACTATTTGTAACTGGTTTTTGGCAGCTACGAAGAGAAGTTTTTGTATAGCCATTTACCTTTAGGACATTGGCAACATATTTCCTCTCCTCAGCCTTCGAATCGAATGAAGATGGTAGACAGTCAGCCCTCCTAAGTAAAGTTTTGGCTACAGACTTTTTATAGCAAATAGGGTAGTGAGAATCGAAAGCGAGGTATTTGTCGGTGTGGGTAGGTTTACGGTAGACACTTGTCTCTAAATTACCCTGAACCCCTCTGGACACATTTTAATCAAGAAAGGGCAAATGTCTATCCTTTTCACGCTCAAGGGTGAATTGGACCGACGGCTCTACTGAATTCAAATGCGACAAGAAGCGCCCCGCTTCATTTCCGGATACCGCAGAAATAACATCATCGACATATCGTTTCCAGAAAAAGGGTTTAACCGGTGAAGTGGCTAAGGCCCTTTGTTCCACGTCTTCCATTACCATGTTAGCAATGACAGCAGAGACGGGCGAACCCATCGCTGTACCAAAAACTTGTTGATAGTAGGTGCCGTTATATGTAAATTGCGTGGTTTTGAGGCAAAAAGACAGCAGATGAATAATATCCTCCACAGGCAAAGAAGTTCTTTGTCCCAGGGAAGCATCTTCTCTGAGTCTTTCCCCCGCAACCTTAACGGCAAGATCAACTGGGATTTTGGTGAAGAGCGAAACAACGTCGAAAGATACTAATTCTTCACAAGCGTTAAGAGTTTTATCTCTTATGAAATCCGCAAATTCGCAGGAATTTTTGACAGTGTAATCAGTATTCCCAACAACAGGCGACAAAATTCTCGCAAGATAACCAGAAATTGCATAAGTCGGAGAATTAACAAAAGAGACAGTGGGTCTCAAAGGAATTCCCTGTTTATGAATTTTTTTAAAAATTTCGCCCCAACTCCAACTTTAGGTAAACTGACTTGAAAAAGTGATTATTCGTAAAAGAAAGAGGACTGCGAACTAACGAGCGGTATGAGAAACGTGCGAAAAAGTGTAACTGACGAAGAAAAACGCTAACAAACTTAACAAAAAGCACTAACGAGGAGGTATGAAAAAAAGACAAAGAACAAAATAAATAATTAAATACGAATTACACGAAAAATAACCAGCATGCGCTTAGAGCGCAAAAAGTCTCAATGTAATTGATAAGCACATAACTCACGCTCTTGTGATCATGAACTGCCCCTTTCGGATTTTGCTAAAATATACCTTCAAATAGCGAAGGGGGTTTACTGCTGTCTCGGAGTATTAAAATTAGATTAACTAAAGTACATCCTTATTCGTTATGAGTTTATCTTCGCTTTGTTAAACAGTTGAGGTAAGAACCTCATTGATTGAATTATCGAATAATTGACACTTAGGATATTAAAAGGACATGATTCTTTGCAGTCGCCAGTGAAGAAGATCGCTGACTTTAATGGCTTTTTGACCTTTCAGTGCGGCATTGACTTTTTAATTACTGTCAGGCTTTTCAAGAAAGAGTGTCCAAAGTAAATCTATGAGAGAAAACAACATAAAGGAAAAAGTTGTCTTAGCAGTTTTGATTGACTGTCAAAGACCAAATTGAACTTTTATCTGACTCTTATAGGGAAACATAATTTTGGTTTTGTTACGTGTGAGAGGCGAGTATAAATCTAATCTAATATATTGAAAAGATGAACTTTAGAGATGAACGCATAGATTTTTCTTCTTTACAACACTACCCAGCTTTCCTTCTGCATATTTTTCACAATAGATCTGTCTGAGCCACTAAACAAAGATCCTGAATGCGCCAAAAACGACAACTACGAAATGCCAATAAAAACCGAAGCTAGCCTGAGCTGATGAAGCCGAAAGATTCTCGCAGCCTAAGAATATTGTGTTCATAGGCAGCTGAAAACAGCTCCAAAGCCTTTACTGCTTAATTTCAATTTGCAAGCTCATGAGAAAAACCTAAGATCTTTCAATAAATTTGCTTTCTTTTAAGATGTACATTAGGTTCGTAATTTCCTGTGGGGCTTTGTCCATTTATGAAAATTGTCACCTGAGTTCATTAGTTACGGAACTTTCTTCAATGATAAGTCAACTGAAAGTAAAAACAATAATTTTTACGTTTATTTGGTAGACTGCAATTTATCCGGCCCACATTCAGAATTTTATGACAAACATCACACTAGTTTATTGAAAACGCCTGAAGGAAGGACCTTCTATTGACATCCAACTGAAATCCTGATTGATTCTAAAACAGTTATATTTGACAAGCACCTTCTGATATCTCAATCTTTAACATTAATTTAAATGTTTAAAGTTTATTTTGTTCAGCAATATGAACCTTGAGAATAGAATCTCACGCTAATATAAGGCTGGGAAATATATTTCTGCTCGGTTGTGGTTATGGTAAAACATCTAGCTATGCCTTATCAATGTTTCAGTGAGCCAGTATTTTCCAGCGGTGGGTAAATCTTCCTTGTGGGGATCTTAGAATGGCCCTGTTCTTAATAAAGTGTGATGGAGCTGGGCGGGAGAGGATTCAAATATGGTCGAAGAAATATTTTGGCGATGTTGTTATCATATTCCTGCTCTGGACCACTAATCTTATGAAGAAAGCTACTTTTTACTTTTTCTCTTGAACGGAATTCGAAGCTGACGAACCGCGGCCTGCACTGCTTGCTGGCTCAAAAGTGAGTCTATCGAAGCAGGTCCCGTGAACCAGGAAATCGTGACGTGTTTCTGTTCGCGCACGCCAAGTGCTGCTATATCGAGCTATTTTCCCCAGTTGTTGTGTGTTTCCTCAAAAAGTCCAGTAGAGAACCAGGAAATCGTGACGTGTTTCAGTTCGCGCAAGCCAAGTGCTGCTATGTAGAGCTGTTTTCCCCAGTTGCTGTGTGTTTCCCCAAAAAATCCAGTAGTGGTGCGGAAAACGTAAAACTTATAAGTCCACAGGCTTAGCTTCCTTCCTTCTCCGACAGAGAGCATCTTCCTCGCACGCTCTTTTTATTTCTTTGATGTCAGTTTTTTCCGGCGGAAATAATTACGATTAAAAGGAGGAGGCCGTAAAGATAACTTTCTCTTGAAGAACTGATCGTAATTTATCCCTTTGTAGGTATTTTAAGTTTCATATTTACTTCCTCATATGGGAAAAGACTGCTTTCATCTCATCTTAGACATCTTAGCGTGCAGAGCAAGTGTAATTTTGGCGAGCGAAAGCTTAGTAATTTCTTGAAGAGTATTATTGCTGCCATCTTTGATTTTAATGGCTGCGGAAGGCTGGAGAGAGAGAAATAAATTTGTACCAAGGGGGCGGTCGACGGTCACAAATAAGAAGACGGGTGGGGGTGGGGGAGTTAAGATTTCCTTCCCCCACCCTCCTACCCCTACCGTCTACTCTAACTCCAAATCAAACATGGCCGGTCGGCGTTAGACGCATGCACTGCAGGCTAAGCTCATCTCAAGTGAGCCATGCCTGTAATACTGGATTCCAGTATTCCAGAGAGCACCAGGACAGGGGTGATCGTTTTACAAGTCTTGTATGGACTGTTCTTCATCATGGGAATATCAAAGCCGAAATTTTACAGAAAACTAAGTACTAATGTAGCATCTTACTTTAGCAGATCTGTTAATACTGATAATTTTTACTCCTACAGTATCCAGGACGCGTGTCATATGTACTTCTTAATAGACCACCCTCTCCGTAGAGTCTCTGTGGCTCAGCGGTAGAGCATCAGAGCGCGGAATCCGAAGGTTTGATTCCTCATGAGGACACGACTTCTCGTCATGAGAATTTTTTCTTTGTCCCACGCTCGTGAAAAGACGAAAAACATCTTTCTCTGATGTATATTGTTGACAATTTTTTCCTTGCATAGGATGTACTGTTAAATGACGAAAAGATAGTCAATGTGAATCATGGAATTCCTGTAAATATAAAATCAAGGATGTCCGTGACATCCTTATAGTCCGCGTCACTTAACCAGGTTCTGAAAAGATATTACACTGCCGTGATGCTTTCTTAAGCAAGACACAGGTTGGATGCTTCTCTGCGCTTGGTAACAGTTGCTAGTTGCCTTGCGTTTTTTCTTTGTTTTTATTTTCACCTTCCAACTGAGATTGGTCCATTGCTGCAGGTAGTAGGATATAAAAATACCAGAAATCTTCCAGC